GGTTCCCGAGCCGCGTGGAGGTGGCGGGAGCGCGGGCCTCCGGCTTTTCCTTTTCTGATCGAGGATAACTTCGTATGCTCGCAGGACATTCAGCACACGGAGGAATTTTTCATCAAGCCCGAGTCTCGGATCGCTCAGTTGGACACGTCGCAGTGGCCCCTGCTGCTGAAGGTGGGGTGGGTTACAGACAACCCTGTGGTCCATCCCTGCTCCTGCTGCTCCTCTGGCCTCAGTGTAGGCCCATGGAGATGCACAGCTGCTTCTCTGTGTAACCTGCAGCTAAGGAATAGCCTGTGTGATGCTTGCAGCAGAGGCAAACCCTCTGCGCGCAGAAATCATGTTATAAAGTTTGTCCGGCAGTGCCGTTTGTGTGCCTGCTTTCTAAGCTTACCACCTTCTGTAAAGACCCTACTAGATATTTTTCAGCTTTTCATTTTGGTCTGACAGTGGTCTGTGTATTCTGAGTTGCTTGTGCTGAGTTTCTGGGGCATGCTGGATTTATTGTGCATTGTAAAGGCTGGTATTCTGCTGCTTTCCCATCTCTTTCAGTGCAGGACTTCTGTTTCTTTATCTGTAAAACATGGTTTCATTGTTGGCTCTTTTAGAAGAGGCTGTTAATCACTGAAGTGTATACAAATCATACATTGTGTAATTGGAGAGATGTATTGTGGCAAAGCAATGCCACAATACAAAGCAATGCCACAAAGCAAGATGAGCTCAAGATGACGTAACTTTTGCTTGGATTTTGTAGAACTTTGACAAGTTAAATGTGATGACGGCACACTACACACCTCTTCCTTCTGGTGCTAATCCGCTGAAGAGAGAGATTTCTGACTACGTTAGGTGAGTGCAATAAGGGCCAGAGTGATTTATTTTTCTTTCACAGTTAATATGTTCAAAACGTGTTTTGTTTCGGATTCCCCTTGTACCTTTCCACTTAACTGGGTGTTTTGCTGCTAACCAGTAGATGTCTAAATATGACCCGCTGGTCACTTACCGTAAAGTTTGCTTTGTTCTGGAGTTGCAGCTGGTCTGTGGACAGATATGCAAATACTTGAGGAATTCTCTGGGGTATTATGGAGAGTCCTTTGGCCTTCTAGACTTTGAGACTTGGAGTTTGTTTGTAGCATTTGATTTGGTTTAAGTGCAGAGCAGTGATGAGCAGTCTGGGCAGAGGAGAATTCCTTGTGGAATATATCACTTGCTGTGCACAGAGCAGCTTGGTGCGTGGTCGCTGAGAGCAGCTGTGAGGCTCATTGCTTGTATGGCTGTATAGAAATATGTTTCTTTGCAGCCATGACAAATATTGTCAAAGTTTTTGTACTCCTGCTGTGCTTACCCTGATTCTTAGCTGCTGCTGTCTGCCATCTTGCACTGTAGGTCTGGCTTTATTAACCTCGACAAACCTTCCAATCCATCTTCCCATGAGGTGGTTGCATGGATCCGACGAATCCTTCGAGTAGAGAAAACTGGACACAGTGGCACTTTGGATCCTAAGGTGACTGGGTGCCTCATTGTGTGCATTGAGAGGGCAACACGACTGGTCAAATCTCAGCAGAGCGCAGGTATGTTTATTGCCTGGGACCTTTACACTCTAAGTGACTGGGGAGGTGTGGAGTTCTTTTGGAGACAAAATGGAAATTTCCAGTCTTTGAAAGGGCTACCCCTGGTCTTCACTGCCTTGAGCTTCAGGATTGCTTATCTTTCTCACTTCACCCCAGTGAGGGCACATCCATACTGTCACAAGGCTTTTTTTTTTATTGCCTCTCTGGGGCTTGTGCTGTTTGAAGTCAGTGAAAATGCTTGTTACGGACTGGTTTCATGTACTAATTGAACTTATGGCCTCAGCCTCTACCAGTCCAGTGAAATAAAACTTGAGCGCAAAATAAATGTAGCTTAGATTTATTTTGCTGGAAGAATAACCAGCTCTATAATAAACTGTGCACAATTCCTAGGAGAGCTGATTGTGAAAAATTCAGGGCTCTGTGGATGTGTGGCTGTGAAGCAGTGTAGACTTTGAGGTTAACATTAAATGCAAGTGGCCGCTCCTGACTGCTCTTGTCGTTTTTTCAGGCAAAGAGTATGTGGGAATTGTTCGGCTGCACAATGCAATTGAAAGTGAGGCTCAGCTTGCCAGGGTAAGTCTCGGCATGCTCTTAGCCGTGCTGGCACTTGACATGCAAAGTGTTCAACATTGGTGGGAGATGAGAGAGTAGGAGCAAAGCTCAGATGTGCTCTGTGTGTGAGGTGATGACGAAGTTTATCCATTCTCTGAGTGCAGTGGTGCTGCCCTCCTGCAGCACCCTGATTCCTGTTCTAGGGTCTGGGTGCTGTGCAGCCTCCAGATATCCTCCAGTCTCCCAGTGTCCTACTCGGGGCTGCTGTGGTGTGTGGCTGGCTGCCTGCAGGAGTGAAGTGGTGCTGGCAGGGTTGGAGCCCCTCTTTGGGGGGCTCTGTCCCCACTGAGATGAGGAATAATGTCTGATCACATACTGCCACCTGATGAAAAAGCCCACCTGTGCTCACTGGCAGCTGGGATAGCATTTTGGCCACACTACTGATTCAGATTCACTTTATTAAATATAACATCACCAAATTATGATGAACCTTGTGGTTTCTCACTCATGGAAGTGGTCGTAGTTGATGGACACCCCAGGGTGTTCCTATGTTAGGGCACTGGTGTGAGCTGCTACTTCTGCTTCTACCCTCAGGCAATAGAAACTCTGACAGGCGCACTATTTCAGCGACCACCCCTCATTGCTGCTGTCAAACGACAACTGAGAGTCAGAACCATCTATGAGAGCAAGCTGGTGGAGTATGATCCTGAGAGAAGATTAGGTAAAATAGTGCTTTCCTGCCTTCTTCCTATTAAGCTTAACAACTGATAAAATTTCATGTGAAATAGACTACTTCCTGTTCTTGACAGATGTCTTAAGACATAAATCATCACCATCAAGCAGTAACTGCTTCATGTGTTACTTTGGTGTGCTGAGAAGCAAATCCCATTTATTTTTTGTACTGCTGCATCCTTCATTGAAGAGCCAAATGATGTCAATTAGATGGCATTAGCACTCAGTGCAAAGATGACCTTCATCTATCACCCGAGGCTGATGGCTCTGTGAAAGGTTGGAGATACAGCTTCTCTCAGAGGGAGCTTCTAGATGTGGTTCGTTTCTAGATATGTATTTATGTATCTTCTGTCCTGTCCTGCATTTCAGGTATCTTCTGGGTGAGCTGTGAAGCAGGCACATATATCCGAACACTCTGTGTTCACCTTGGCTTGCTGCTTGGTGTGGGAGGCCAGATGCAAGAGCTCCGCAGAGTGCGCTCAGGCATCCTGGGAGAGAAGGTAGAGTGGTATCTCTAACTATAACTGGGAAATTTGAAATTGTCAGAATTGCAAAAGTTCCTTGGAACTGTGTTAGTTTTACAGTGTTAGGAGAAGGTGTAGGTGCATGGTGGCTGGGAGCAGTTTTGTGAATAGTGGCAAAAACATGAGAGTTCTTGTCATAGATGGTCTGTAACCAAAGTGTTGAGTTCAGTTCAGGGTGTTGCCCCTGTTCTGGTAATTAAGCTTTGGGACAGTGAGTGACTGGGAAGTACATCATGGTGACTGAAAGTTTGTTTTATGCCACCTGTGTTTCTCAGCCTACAAACCATGCATGTGCCACAACTTCAGGTGTGTGAGCCATCTGCTTGGCAATCTGTGACTGCTTGGTGTCAGGACACAATGTAGGGAACGTGCTTCATCGAAATGAGCCTGGGAGATGCAGGCTTGTGTGATCTTCAACACTTGTGCAGTCTTTTCAGTCTGGTCATAGCTGCATCCTGCTCCAGGTCCAAACTTCAAAAAAAACCTTTTTTTTTTTTTTCTTGCAAAGCAGCAGTACTAGAGTGCAAGTGCTTCCCCACCCATCTGTGCTCTTACCACAGCTGTAGTCACTGGCAGTCATTTCTGAATTCCAGGTGGTGGGTGCTTACATCTGCTTCAGGAATTTATTCTGTGTCACAGGTTGAAGAGCTGGTTAATTTAGACTTCTACTCACTAATCTTTGTCTAGAAGTCCCAGGTATTTGTTTAAGTTTGGTTGTGTTTCAAAGTTTCATGTGGACAGACCTTATACGCTAGATCCAAGTGCTGTGTCAGATTAGGAAGGTTGAAGTCTGTCATAGCACAAGTCAGGCTGACCTCAGGCTGTTGATGGAAAGTATTCTTGCCTCTTTTAGGTTCCTTTTTTGATGCTTCTGAGTTGGGCATCTGGTTTTCACTCCCTTTCAGCATGCTGTTTGTTGGTGGACTTCAGCTATTTTCTTGTGTATGCTTCGAGTTGGTGGCTGGTAGGAGAGTTTAGAGGGGTGGTGTCTTTGCAGGACAACATGGTGACTATGCACGATGTACTGGATGCACAGTGGCAGTACGACAACAACAAGGATGACAGCTACCTGCGAAGAGTTATCCTGCCCCTGGAGAAACTGCTGACTTCACACAAGCGGGTAGTCATGAAAGACAGTGCGGTGAGTTCCAGGGATAGTGCCAGTTGACAGCCAGAGACTGCAAAGTATCCTCCTAACTTGTACAGCTAATATAATGAATGGGGGATCAGGATCCACATGGTGTCCAACACTGTCCTGATTGTGAGCTGTGTAGGACCTAGTATGGGCCACTGCCAGATGAGCAGTAAGATGCAAGAGCCAAGAATTGAGTGGCAGAGAAGCTGCTCTCCTCACTTCAGGAGGATGCTGATGTTTATAAGAGATCTGCCTCACATGTTGTTTGCTGTGATAGGTGCTTTGCTTTGCTTACTTTTTCCCAAGCCCCAAAGTTTTACATAGTGGATGATAAAAAATCGAAATATAGGAAAGTTAGTGCTGGGACAGTAATGGCAATGGGAAGCTAAAATATTAGAGGCACTTCTTACCTTCTTTTTATTCTCTAATAGCTTATAAGCCCTCCTGTTCCTTATGTTTTCAGGTTAATGCCATTTGCTATGGAGCCAAAATCATGCTTCCTGGTGTCCTGAGATATGAAGATGGTATTGAGCTTAATCAGGAGATTGTTGTCATCACCACAAAAGGGGAAGCTATCTGCCTAGGTATGAAACTCCTTGTTCTTCTTGTGCCTAGCTAGCTGCAGAAATAACTGTGTTCCAGTGAATGCACAGCAAACGAGTCCCCATGTGCAGAAGGTTTAAATAGTGCTTCCTGATGGGGACTGTGGGTCCGCGTGGCCCAAGGCAAGCTGATGTTGGGCAGGATGTTAGGAAACAACAGCTACCTCAGTCCTTGGCAAGGTGTGAAGAGTGCCTCGGGCTGACTTCAGCTATGGGATGCTCAAGTGTGCTCTGTGTGTGAGGTGATGACGAAGTCTATCCATTCTCTGAGTGCAATGGTGCTGCCCTCCTGCAGCACCCTGATTCCTGTTCTAGGATATGGGTGCTGTGCAGCCTGCAGATACCCTCCAGTCTCCCAGTGTCCTACTCGGGGCTGCTGTGGTGTGTGGCTGGCTGCCTGCAGGAGTGAAGTGCTGGCAGGGTTGGAGCCCCTCTTTGGAGGGACTCCATCCTCATTGAGATGAGGGACAATGTCTGATCACATACTGCTACCTGGCACATCACCCTTCCTGAGCAGATCAGTGTAAAAGGACTTGAGCAATGACCGGCTTCTGTGAAGTGACTTGAAAGGGTCACTGTTTAGGTAGCAGGTGCTGGCATACTGTACAGATGGTCTGTCATAGCACTCAGTGCTCACAGCCTCATGCCCTGTCCAGAGCCATGGGACTGAGGGGCCTTTGAGGTGTAATGCAGCCAAGGCATTCCACCTTGTTGTTTGTACTGCCTGAACTCCGGTCATCTTGGGGACCTGGCAAGAAAAACATAATTTATCAGTAGGATTAGTCTCCTCTGGTTTGGCTCTGCAAGGTTTTGGGAGCTGGTGGAGCAGCACTGCTCCTTTCTTTAGTGCTGTGGTTCCTTGAGCTACTTGGAAGTACTCCAGCAGCTGCTCACAAACCTCTTCCCCATCCAGTGATGATGTTGGTGCTGCTCTGTGAAATGATTGGTCTTAACTGTGTTCACTGATCTAGAACCAGTCTTTGGTGTAAGCCAGAGAGGCCTGTGCTTGGGATGTGGTTAATTCACAACTGGTGTGTTTGCTGCCTTTGAACAGCATAGCTCTCTGAAGCACTAGTCCAGAACTTACCTCCAGTGAGGTTTTGGAGTGAAATGGCACTGGTGGGGGATGTTGCTCCTCTTTGTGCTGACAGAGGAAGAACAGGCTGGACGCAGCAGGTTCCTGTGTCGCTGTTGCAGTTCTGCTGTAAAGAGTTAATGAACTCTTTGCCTGCTTCTGCAGCCATTGCCTTGATGACCACAGCAGTCATTTCTACCTGCGACCATGGCATTGTGGCAAAGATCAAGAGAGTGATCATGGAGAGAGACACGTATCCCCGCAAATGGGGTCTCGGTCCCAAGGTGAGCGACACGGAGGTGCGGTCAGTCCCAGGGTAGCAATGGGAGCCCAGCTGTCAGGATGTGGAACTCTGGACCTCGTGGGCAGAGCTGCACTTGTATCTTCTCCAAGGCCTTGATGTAATTCTTCTGTGCTCTCCTAGCACCACGATGGTGATGCTTCCCAGTTCCAGGACTGTGTTAGCCCAGCACTAGTGGGAGCAAGACTTGCCCTCTCAACAGAGGCAGGGTAGCTCTACCTGAGGCCCAGCTGGGGCTGCTGCTGGTGCTCAGACGTGGGCTCCTCAGGTATGTACGGCACCAGCCCTCCTCTGTTAAATAGCCAAATGATGTGAAGTGGATGACATTAGCGCTCTGTGCAAAGATGACCTTCATCTATCACCCTGTACTGATGGCTCTGGAGGGGCTGGGCAAGGAGCTGCTTTTCCTTCTGGTGCAACTGCAACAATGCCAAAATGCAAACTGTCTTGTGAGACAGGAAATTGTGCCTGAAGGACGGGAGCAGTGGGAACAGCCATTGTTGGGTTCCTGTCTCAAGCATGTGGTAGTCATGGAAATCAGAAATGCTAGCTTAACTGCAGCCAGACTGGTGTATCACTGCAGTAAGTGATGCAGCTCGGACTTAAAACTTGGTGTTGAGTTGCTGTGGCTTACTCCATTCCTGTGGTTCAGGTGAAATGCAGAAAGCTGTGGGGATGCATGCACATCTGTCTCACAGCAAATGTGAGGTAATGCAGACTGGTTCAAGCATCTTGGAGTCTTTAACAAAGTCTTGCATTTGCAGCTGGAGTGGTTCAGCTAAAATGTGGCAGGTCGTTAAGCTGGAGAAACCTGGTCAAATAATTGAGCTCCATGGTGTGCAGTGTTATTTTTTTCTGCTGCTATTTCCTCCACAAATTAGCCCTTATTTACTCACGAAGATGCCTCCTGTCTGAGATTTGTAGGCTACTGTGTGGGGGATGTTTTGTGTGATTTGTTAGAAGGTCCTTGGAGAAGTGTTCAATCAGTACCGCTCTAGTTGTTGGCTTAGCTTGTTCCTGAGTTACCTCCTCTTAGGCTGAGTGGCTGAAGCCCTGGGGAGAATTTCTCCCCCCTGGAGCTGCAGTCTGACTTGATGCATGTTTCTCTCAGGCCAGTCAAAAGAAGATGATGATCCAGAAGGGTCTGCTGGACAAGCACGGAAAGCCCAACGAGAGCACACCGGATTCTTGGAAGGAGGAGTATGTGGATTACAGGTGGGTACAGGGTGTGTGGCTCTTGCATGGTGGGCAGAGGGGAGCCCCATGCAGCAAGGGCTGGGCTGGGTGCTGCCATTTGTGCTTGGAGTGTGTTAGGGCCTGGCCCAAGGCTGTTGGCTGTCTGGACCTGTGGGGTGTGGTGGCATTTCTTTCAGTCCCAGGAAATGTGCTGCTAGTGGGCAGCAGCGGAGGGAAAGGCCCTCAGCAGACAGTTATCCCTTTCTAGCCTGTGCTTGTGGTTTTAGAGGGAGTCAGTCTGCTAAATTAAATGGGGGAGGCCTTGCTGTTGCCCAGCCAGCCCTGGTGCAGGATGCAGGTCTTTCCCACACCAGTGTCGCCCTCCAGCACCTGGCACAGGTTATGGAGTCCTTGTGGCAGGGCCAGAGCTTTGTACTTGTACAGAGCAGCGTGAGGCAGCAGCTGCCCTGCTCAGCCTGGGGATCTTCTCTTTCAGGGATGCGTCCAAGAAAGAGGCAGGTGCCATTCCCCGAGCTGTTTCAGAGCTGGAGAGGGCTCCAAAAGTGAGTATCATTAGTGCTGTCTGGCTGTATGGTTGTTAGGGCCCTGATGAAGAGTGGATACGTGCCAGTTCCTTTAGGCAGTTAGTATCAGGCACTGGATTGTGTGCTGCTTCAATTGGTTGTTTTACAGGGGAAACTTTCATATTCTGGGAGCCTAGTGCCCCAATGTGAGTTGCGGTTGCATGGCCTATGAGCCAGCTGTAGGGTGATCTGTTTAGGGCCTTACCCCCCTGGGTGTTTCTCTCTGGGATGTGATGTTGTACTTTGGGTGTGTGTCCTGTAGCACTGTATGAGAAGGAGGAGCTCTGACTTGCGATGTACAAGCTGCAGCATCCAAGGAAATACGTTGTATGGAGCCACAATGGAGGTTTGTTGTGCCAGAGAACCTTTCTGGAGGCTACAAACAGTTGCAGAAATGTCCATGCAAGAATTACATCTAAAGTTTCCTAAGTCAGAGCTTGTGCATGCACTTGGAAAGCTGCAGCAGTGTTTCAAACCGGAGCATTTGAGGTAGAGGAAACACTGAGAAATACGGAGTGTAATTCTGGCAGAAGCAAATCCTAGACAGTGTATGCTGGAGAAGACTGCTGGCAGTCTGTAGCTCACCCTCCTGCTCAAAGCATTGTTAACTGTGTGGTTTGATTGCGTCAGGCAATATAGTTGTAACGGGCTTGCAGTTTTCCCATTGCTTGAGCTCCTCTGGAAGATGGTGTCTGACAACACGTTCCCCCTAACAGAGGAAGCGAGAGTTGGAGAGCGAAAGTGAGGAGGCTGTGACCCCACCATCCCCTGCCACCCCACCACCAGAGGAGCTGAGCAAAAAGAAAAAGAAGAAGAAGGAGAAGAAGGCCAAAGAGGCAGCCGAGAGTGGAGGAGAGCAAATAGAAGTGGTATGTAACTTGGTGCTACCCTGGTGCAGTGCAAGCATGGGAGAGAGTGGTATCTCTTCCCTAATACCTCCAGGATAAATGCATCAGCATCCTGCTGTGCATGTCCCCAAAGTACCAGGGTCCTAAGAGGCAGAAAAAAAATGTCTGTTTAGGTGCATTTGTAAACTAAATTGGTTGAGGGTGGTGGGAGACTGGGCAGGTGAGACTTGTGGCGGTGGACCTGCAGTGGGAAAGGGATGGGTACATGTTCCTGCCAGGCCACCTCTGGGCTCTGGTGCCCTGTAACAGGCCCTGGTGGGAGGATGGTGCCTGGTATGGTGGCAAGAGGATTGTGGCCATGGGGAGCCTGCGCTGCATCTAGAGTTCCTTCTGAAATAAGCGGTGATGGATTCCTTTTTGATTCTTTCCTGACCTTTCCAACCTCTTCACAGACCAGTGAGACCAGCAACAAGAAGAAGAAGAAGAAAAAGAAACAAAAGGAGGTAGAAGAAAGCTCGGAGTGAGAGACTGGATCTGTCCAAAGCAGGCGACCTTGTCAGTAGGGAGGGAGGACTCTGAGGCCTTGAGAAAAAGAGGACTGGCTGCATGGCAGAGGGGCCAGCAAATTACAAGTTCCTTTTCTGCTGTGTATATGATTGAGTGGGTGTGTTTGCCCAGGATAAGCCCTGCTCAGGCGCCCCTCCTCATCCTGTTTTAAGGGTTGCCAGAGGAGTGGGGTGCCTGACTGCCCCTGCACTGAATTACTCTCTGAAGCTGAACACCGTGATGCCAATAGAAACGATATCTTCAGGGAAGCTGTAGCTCCTGGCTCTTACTTGGTGTCTCTGTTTACACCTTGAGAGGGAGGAATAACATTTCTCTCTCCTCTTGTCCTGCATCTTTCTTCCTTCCAAGGTTGGAGCTGTTACCTGACAGTTGCAGAATGTGTTGGTGTCTGGAGGACTGGCTTTGTGACGGCTCATCTGGATGGGTTTGGATAGGGACAGTCAAATTGGTTATTTGAAGGGCTCTGGTTTGTTTTAACCTGGCTGTGTGCTTGGCTTGACCCTCAGCTAGATGAGATCAAATAGTCCACCCAGATATTCTTTAGTATTTTTTTTTACCTTTGTCATAAAAGAATTAGAACATTAAATTCCTGCTTTTTCTTGATAGTGCAGGGACCTGCTGCTTAGTTGTTGGCTGATCCCCAGTGTGTACCTCTTGCTGGCTCTTTGCTCTTCTTTACCTAGTTGTTGGAATGGGACCGCAGCGCTTTCAGTTGCCTTCCCTGGTTTTGATATTTAATATACTCTGAAAGCTAGAAGTGGGGATGCTGCTGGGTGCTGGAAGCAAAGTGACCAGAAGGTGGCTGGCCAGTATGCTTTTCTAAAGGGCTGTGGGACTGGAATCCTTGCGAGGAAAAGTTTGGCCAGAGGCAGCTCTGCAAGAGGCACTAGCTGTGAGGCTTCAGAAATACTTGTCCTAATTTCCTTCCTGTCTGGAGTGGCTTGCTGGGAGTGGGAGGCCTATGCCACAGGGGTGGTGCTGAGCCAGGATTTTAGCCCCTTTTAATGAGGAAGGATCCAGGCTGCTTTGTTCTGAGCTTCATTCCTCCAGAGATTCTGTAACGTAATGTCTTAGGCTCATGCATTGCTTTTGTCTTAACTGTCTGACTTTTCTCCCCTCTGATGCTGGAGATACACACAGGCAGTGGGGCCAGCAGCTGGTGGCTGTCAGAACCTGAACAGAGAGTCCATTTTTATTTACTTTTTTACTTAAAAATAAAAGTCCTATTTTTGAACAGGTGATTTTCTTGCTCATCTGGCTCCTAGAAGAGGTCAGCGGTCTGTTTGTGGGGAGGGGAGGTAAGTTAATGCATGTGCGTGGTGTAGCTGGGCAGGTAAATGGCTGCCCTTTCTGCCCAGCCTTTGTGCTGCTCTCCTGAAGAAGCTGCTGGTGCAGAGAGGTGATCATGTTCACATGGACCATCACTAGAGGGGCCTTTGTTGATGGTCAGGACTTTGCAGATGTTTAGGGGCCACCCTCCACTTTGGTAAAACCCACTGGGATGTGTGCCTGGAAACTCTGTGTTCTCTTTCCTCCTTTGCCTGTGCTGGAGAGGTCTGACGGTGGCTGGAGAGACTGTTTGGTCCTGGCCTGCCTCACCTTGAGTGTGTTAGGGTCAGGGAGGTGGGAACAGATCTCCAGCTGTGAGCAAGTGCTCAGCCTAAGAGGTAAAACACCAGTCACGGCAATATTTCAGCACACGTTTATTGCTGCTTATTGTTTCCCTGCAGTGGATCAGAACTAAGGTCCCTATTGCACATCAACAGATTTTATTTTTGGCATCCTTAAAAAATTGCACAGGACTTCTTAACCCTCTTCCCCTAGCTGACTGCTGAACACACAGATGAGATTCTTTCACCCAAATGATGGCTATGGTTTGCCCAGGAGCCAAGGTGATGCTTTCCAGACAGTGGTCTTCCTGCAGAAGAAGGAACCCCTTCGTGTGGGTGGCTTTTACGTTTGCGTACAGTGTGCAAGACACCCTAGACTGGAAAACATGCCTGGATGATCTTTGTAGATACTGTTTCTATTGCATGCAACAGATACTTGTGGCTGGATCTAGTTTACCCATTGAACTGTCCCTCTGGGGTTTGATCTGTGCGACTTCCTCAGGTGCTGCTGAGTTTCCCTGACCAGGTGGTAACAACCCAAGATGCATGGTGACAATTTAAATACAGTGACTTTACAACTACAGTTGCACACGGTGAATCAGAAAACTCCACCCTCAGAACACGGGGGGAGACATGCCTGATGGCGGCATGTTCCATGCCACTCAAATCCATGCTTGCCTTTTTCTGCTCTATTCCATTTGTGAAGGGAAATCCTTGGATACAGGAGCTCTTGTGTGGTCTGTGTGAAGCCTCCTAAGCTGTGTGCTTCCTTGACACATCGTGAACACCAGCCAGGCTTTCAAGGTGTTTGTGGCACAGTGTGCACTCCCGTGATAGCCTGGAAAGCCCCTGCTCTACCACTTTGTTTGGGACTGATGCAGAGATCGGCTGGGTGCTACAGCAGGACTGCTTTCCCTTACCCGGTGAGGTGGTGAGCTGTGCTCCGAGCTAATGGTGCCCTAGGCTCTGCTGTAGCCACTAACTTAGCACTGTATTGCAGTGTTGAGGGAGGTGGCCGTCCCCTGGGCAGCCCCTGTCCTGCGTTCCCCTGGAGAGAAGATCCAGAAACCCTCTGTGTGTGTGTGTGTGTGTGTGTCAACTAATTGAGACCATGTCCATGGAGCAGCAGAGGGAGTTGTGCTGAGCTGTGTGTGGATTAGGGTAAGCTGAGGAGGTTTCTCCCCATGGCTGCAGGATGATTGATGGGAAGCAGCTGGGGTTGGATGCCCTCTCAGTAGACCCAGGAGATGGGTACCCACTGTGGAGAGCTGCAGGCCTGCTCAAAGGCTTCCTGCAGCAGCTGGAGGCTTTCTTCCACCCCGTTGTTGACCAGTGAGAGGTCGAAGTAGTGTGCGTATCTGCTCCGGATGATCTCTGAATCCTTCTGGAGCTGCTGCAACGCCTCTGACTGCAGGAAATGGGAGAGAGTGCTCAGGAGGCTGAGGAGGAAGGGAATTTCACAGCCCACCCCAACAGGCAAACTCTTTCCTGCCACCAGCACAACTCAGGTAGTTGCTAAGCATCAGAGCACAGAGCATCCCTGCTTGTCTGACAAGCTAGGAGGTGGTGTGTGATCTCTGAGTGCGCATCTAGGGGTTTTGCTGGACTTTTATGCAATGCTAGGAGCATCAGGTTACCTGCTGGAGTAAGGCCAGACCTGCTTGGTCTTGTATTTATCTTTAAAATGCTTTGTGGCAGCTTCCTGTGAGGAGAAGGTTCACTGAGCAGCAGGCTGCTCATTACTATGCTATGCAGTGTAGCCAGCTCAAGGCCCAAGGCTGGTTTCAAGGTAGTCTCCCTGCAGGATGGTCCCTTCCCACAGGCTTTTGACCAGAACAGTGCTGGCTGGCAGAGCAACACCAGCCTCCCTCTACTTGTTTTCGCTGGGATTAGAGTTAAATTTCTTCACAGTAAAATCAAAGCTGTCTGCCCCCTCCTGCCGGTGTGGCTAGTTTGCACGGCTCTCCAGCTAGCAGAGGCATCCCAAAGTGTGTCCCTGCGGGCAGCTGTGCCATCAACAGTGAAGTCCAGACAGATTTCCACCTATCTCCTGAACAGTTTGAAACGCAGGCAGCTCCCTGCATCTGTGTCTGGCAGGGGGGATGATCTTGGGGTGCTGTGCTTGCTGCAGCTCCGCTCTGTGTTGCCCGTCAGCTCTTGGGTGGAGAGGGGAGAGTGATAAGCAGTTTGCTGGGTCACATTCTGGCTCTGCTGCATCCCTGCTAGTAAGCAGTTACCTGAGCCGCAGCAGCTAGCTATATATAGAGCCTGCACCAGCAGGGCTGGCTCTGCCCACTGCAGCAGGAGTTAATTCCTCTGCCTGGAGGCAGCGGTGGGTGATGGGCATGGAGGTGGGGGCAGAAGGCTGCCTAACTGCCCTTTCTGCCCTGACACCAGCCTGCTGCATCTGGCTTTACAATCCCCTGCAGGTTAACATGCCTCTGCATGCCTGTGCACTGATTTCTCTGAAGGCTGCATCCTCCCTGCGACCTATCTGTATCTTCAGCTTTACGAACCCCGAATGAATGAACCCTGAATGAATAGGTTGGGAGAGGTGGCCTTGGCTGCCCATGAGTCCGGGAGGAGTACTGCTCTGTGGATCTCCCTGTTCTCTCATCACTTCCCATCTCCTTGCAGAGGTTAGCCCTTAGAGGAGCTAGTCCAGACTCCAGCAGGGCAGAGTAGGCAGCACTGCTCCCCATGGCGGGGGCTTCTGAGGAAATGGCATGTGGCTGCCAGCACTGGTAGCAAAAACTCACGGTGCCTGGCACTGTGAGTTTTAACTGCAGCATCAGTGCTGCTTTCATCCTTATTTTGGAGGGATGAGCATCTTAATGAGGCAAGGAATGTAAAGAGCTTCTGTTTGTGTCCCTCCATTTACATAGCTTGTGGCAGGATAAATGTTTCTGCTCTGCAGCACTGCTGCAGCTGGAGATGGCTCTGAGTGCTGGGCTGTGCAACCCACTACATGTTAGCAGCTGATGATGCTGCAGGGATGATGGTTGCTGGGGGGAGTCAATCTGGGAGAGTCTGTGACTCCAGGAATCACCAATTCCTGTTTCTCAGGTCTGGGCTGAGGAAGTTGCCCTGCTCTCCTGGACCACAAAAATCAGTGTGGACTGGAAGGAGCTGACGTGGAGCAGGGAGAGTCCTGGGCTGCTGCAGCAGGCTCCTTCTCCCCCTGTGTTGAGCAGGCAAGCCCAGCCGGAGTGAGACAGCCTTGGTGCCCTGCCACTCACCTGCTCTGCCTTGTCTGTTGGGGCAATGAAGACTATGAACGGGGAGAGCTCGGCCGTGCGGATGATCTTCAGGGTCTGTGGAGAGAGGGGTGTAGTTACCAGTGTGGC